CATCATATTTCTATGAGACTTGCTACATAGACTTCTAGGATTATGCAGACACCTGATTAGTTTTAATTGGATATTAATTACCTAATTTGCATAATGTTCCACTGATATATAAAGAACCACAAATTGGATTTTAATGAAACTTTTAAAGAGAACTGTGCAGAGACCCAATTAGTTTTTGGTAAATATTTATGCTTATTAATCACCTAATTATCATAATTAATTAACACTGATATCTCAATTACTGATCATCACATTTGAATAAAATTTGGTACATAAATGCTCTAGGACAATAGACAGGCCTGATTAATTTTGATTAATATTAATTCTCTAATTAGCATAATAATTCATAATTTGTTTGTTCTGTTCTGTTCATTTTAGTTACTTGATTTACATAATTAGTTTTCAGCTTTTCCATCAATATCTCATGTACAAGTAATTTTCAATTAATTTTTAATGTGTCTTCAATACTCTCAGCACACGGGAGTTCTTTCTAAGCTTTCTTTGATTTCACTTTGCAGGATTTCTATGCTCTTGCATGGACAACAGTATGTCTTGACGTCAGTGGTAATGAACGACCTACTAATTTACTAGCTGTAGCTGGTATGCGTGGTGAAATCAGAATGCTCTACCCATCACAGTTGGTCTGCTATTCTTTATTGAGGGATTATAAACGATCTATAAACACTCTGATTTTCCATCCTCAGAAACCAACATGGCTTTTCAGTAAGTATTAAGCGATTTACAATAACATTTCACAAACAAATATTTGGTATATTTTCATCATAGTAGAGTTGATTGTTGTCTATAAAAATATTAATTTAAACTAATGACCATTTCCTTGATTTGGGTATATGATATCACATAGATGTATTGTACTGCTGACTATATAATCAGGATGTCATTGACATTGTGATAAACAGTTTTTATCAATTTTGTTGAATTCAAAATGATTGTTCAGTGCATACCCTTATTTTAATAAATCCTTGGTATCATGGTTTTCTGTGTGTCGATTTAACTGCATTCACTTACAATCAAATAAAAACTAAAATGTCAATTTGATCACAGGAAATGCCCACGTTTATAATGGCTATAAGCATCACAAATGTGGAGCTTGACTTTTTTCTTATATGTCACTCATGTAAACTATTACTAACTATTACTCACGTAAACTATTACTAACTATCACTCATGTAAACTATTACTAACTATTACTCATGTAAAATATTACTAAAACACAAACTGATTATGATATTGTGGCATTATGATGTCATTGTGGTTATGACATGGTGACATTATGATGTCATT